CTGCCAGCGAGGCTGCGCTCGCCGCGGCGACTGGAGTCAGGAGGGGAAAAAGCACACAGGCACAATGAATCGTCGACTCCCAGGAGAAATATGGGAAACTATGGGAAGTGGGGGGAAGACAGAAACCCAGAAAATATAGGAAATGATGGGGAATCCTTCTGTTTGTGTGTATTCACTTGTGTGTCCCAGGGACCCTTCATGGAGGGCGAGGAAGCGGCGACCGCGGCCGAGACGCCACATCTCCGACCCCCGAGGGCCCGGCCGCGGGCCCCCCGGGGCCAGCAGCACCAGACCCGGGGCGAACGAAAATAGCCTCCTCCATCCTCCTCCTCCTCCTCCTCCTCCATCCTCCTCCTCCCTCCCTTCCTCCTCCTCCTCTCCTCCCCTCCTCCTCCTCCTCTCCTCCTCCTCCTCCTCCTCCTCCTCCTCCTCCTCCTCCTCCTCCTCTCTCCTCCTCCTCCTCCTCCTCCTCCTCCTCCTCCTCCTCCTCCTCCTCCTCCTCCTCCTCCTCCTCCTCCTCCAGGGGGTCGGGGCCCTCCAGGGCCGCGCACACTGACAGAAAAGCTCAAGGCCGTCGGACGTCTTGGCTCGGACTCAGAAGCTCGAGCGCGGGTAAGAGTGACCTTTAGTGCGCGGCTTTTTGGGGGGCCGCGGGGGGACCAAACACAGGCGCGCAAGACGCTACCACCACATCGCGTTCGGCGATGGAGGGACCCCATTTGGCCCGCACCAAAGGTCACTCCGGCGAAAGGTCACTCCTACGTCTAGTCGAGGCAAGGGGGTCGGGGCCCTCCAGGGCCGCGCACACTGACAGAAAAGCTCAAGGCCGGCGGACGTCTTGGCTCTGACTTAGAAGCTCGAGCGCGACAGATCTTGGCGCCGCGCACAGGGGGGGGTGGGGGGAGGGGGGGAAGCCTCTTGGAGGCACCCTGCTTCTTGGAAGGGCCTGGCCTCACGTCTACAGGCAGGGCCCGCGCCTCCTGAGAAGCTGGGGTGCTTCCGAGAAGCATTCCCCCCTCCCCCTGCCCCCCTCTGCGAGTGGCCGAAAACAGACAAGCGCGTTCAGCTACTCGCGGAGCAGCTGCTCGCACATAGCCTGGACCCGCCGCGCGGGGCTGACGATCCACTGCATGGAGGAAGACGTCTCTGCTTGGACGTTTGCGGGTCGACACTTTGCGTGAGTAGCGGAACGCGCTCGGTGAGCAAAAGGCAGTGCCGATCTTGGTCATCGTCCACCTCGGCCACCGTCGATTCGTGGACCAGCCTCGCGGCACGGCGACGGCCAGCAGGGATCATGACCGAGATCGGCCGGCGCCGACCAGAGTCCGCGACATCGTTGTCGTGATCCTCTCGCGCCATTTCATTCGGAGCGATGGGCAAGCGGCCTCCTCTCCTCCTCCTCCTCCTCCTCCTCCTCCTCCTCCTCCTCCTCCTCCTCCTCCTCCTCCTCCTCCTCCTCCTCCTCCTCCGCCCTCTCCTCCTCCTCCTCCTTCACCGAGCCTCCTGCCGCGCACGGGGCGCGGAGTTCGGAGGAGGCGGAAAGAAGGTGCCCCTGGCCCAAGGTGCCCCCAGCTTTTCGCTCCACTTCGCAGCCCCTGGGGTCATCTGGGCCTCGCGAGGGGTGCTCTGGAGGCCGCGGGGGCCTCCTCGGAAATCCTGGGGGCACCTTGGGCCAGAGGGACTCCTGGCAGCACCCGAGCAGTGGGGATGGACGAGGGCGGACGTGCGACAGCTGTGATGAAGCAAAGAGACCAGGCCCCCGACGCCTCTTAGAGCTCGTGCGACCTCCACCCCCCAGGGCCAGCGCCAGACCCCCAACCCCGGGGCTATCAGCACGCAGGGTGTCCCTGGGGCAGGTTGAGACAAAGGAGGGCGCCCCAGCAGAGCTTCCAACAGCGACCTCGGCGAATGCTGCTACCCATTGGGCCAACTTCAGCAGAACAGCGCACGCTTGTCGCGCACGAAACCTGGACGCTTGGGGCGCGGTGCTGCTCTCTTCGGCCGCTCCGTGGACGGCCCAGGAGAGCCCGAGGCGGCGTCGATGCGCCGAAGATCAAAAAAGGGGGTTCTCGGCGCCCCTGTCTGGAGTCGCCAGGACTGGGTGGTGTGCTCGGGCTTGTTCCGCGACAACGAACAATCTGCGACGCACAGTTTGGCGGGACCGACGACGAAAGCGACAACGACGACGATGGCGGTATCTGGCGACAGCGACAGCGACAACGACAGGAATACGGCGCAACTGTATGTCCGAAGGGAAAAGAACCAGAAGAAGACGCCAACAATAACAGGAATGATCCACTCGCTCTTCGCGGGGTTGCCTGACAGCGAAATGCCTGTCTCTCATCAAACAGCATGTGCGCACTCACCCCACATATTGCACCGCATACAGCGCACCCCAAAGACTGCAGTACATGTATCCCTTCCCCTTCAGAAGATCAGACTCTTCCCCCCTGCAAGATGGGGTTCGCGTCCCCCGTGCGCACACTGGCGTTTCGCTCCGATTATACACGATCGTACATCCTAAACATGAGCCCGTACCATCTTAACCAGTCCCCTTCTAGCTTCGCCCACTCTCATCCCTGTCAAGGAACACTATGCGAGCCACTCGATTGGATCCCATGCTCAATGCATCCGGGCTGATTGCCATCATGTCCAAGCAGACCAAGCGGGCCGCAAGCGCGCGCGCGCAAGTCGAAATCATCCAACGGTCATCGCGCACCCGCCAACTCCGCCAAGTTAAACCAAGCACGACACGAGCGCGCGTGCCCGTGCGCGCATGTCGAAACCATTGCAAAACCATTGGTCTCCTAAGCATTTCAAGATGCAGGTGTTCACAAACATATGGAAATCAAAGTTTCACGCAAACATGCCACTATTGCTGCGCGCGCTGTCCTTCTTCATCCTCATCAGTAGCATCCTCATCAACTTCCCCAGCGTCATCATCATCATCATCATCATCGTCAGCAGCACCATCAACAGCAGCATCATCCGAATCATCATCATCATCATCATCATCATCAGCAGCAGCAGCAGCATCGTCATCATCATCACCGTCGTCACCAGCATGATCAGCAGCATCAGCATCATCATCAGCATCATCATCACCATCATCAGCAGCAACATCATCATAATCATCAGCACCATCAGCATCATCATCACCACCACCATCATCATAATCATCGTCATCGACATCATCATCGTCATCTTCGTCGTCATTACCACAAATAGCATCAGCATCATTAGCATCATCAGCATCCTCATCATCATCAGCATCATCATAATCATCCTCAGCATCATGATCAGCACCATCAGTATCATCATCATCGTCATCGCCGTCAACATCATGATCCTCAACAGCATCAGCATATTCATCATCATCATCGTCAGTATCATCCTCATTACTGTCATCGTCACCATCACCGTCGCCTCAATCATCATCATCACCAGCATCATCAGCAGCAGCATCAGCAGCATCACCATCACCATCATTACCATCATCATCATCAGCAGCACCATCATCATCATCATCATCATCACCAGAACCATCATCACCACCATCATTATCAGCAACAGCATCAGCCGAATTTCCACCATCATCATCACCACCATAACCATCAGCATCACAGTAAGCATCGTCATCATCATCATCACCGCCCTCATCATCATCATCATCATCATCATCAACAACAACATCATCAGCAGCAGCATAATCATCGTCATCGTCAGCAGCAGCATCATCATCTTCAGCACCGTCACCAGCGTCTTCGTCATCATCACCACCGTCGTCATCATCATCGTCATCGTCATCGTCGTTGTCGTCGCCCTGGCCATCATCGCCACCAGCATCACCATCATCGATGTCGTCGCCGATGTCGTCGCCACAATCATCACTCGCCCGCCCGAATCCTAGGTCTGCATGAAAAGGATCCTCGTGTCAGTGCGCCAGATGACTTTTGCACAGAATGAACGGGCGGATGGGTTGGATGTTTGCTGGACCACTGGAGCTGGTGACTCCAAGTTCTTCAGACGTAATCGCACTGCATAGACTGCACCGCATAGACTGCAACGCCCAGACTGCTCCGCGTGGATTGCACCGCATCGACTGCAGTGCCTGGACGGCAACCCACCTAGATTACTCGGCGTCGCTGTCTGGGCGCCCGCGCTGGGGTCCAACGTGGCGGGAATGATTGCTGCGGAACGATCGCGCTACCCACACACACACACACACACACACACACACACACACCCTCGGGCCCCAGAAGAGGCGTGTCAGCGTCCCCCCTGACCGTGCTCCCTCCGCCTGAACCTACACACCCCCGCCCCCGTGGGCGCCCCCGTCCCCGACCGACCCCGACGGACCCTGAAGCCAAAAGGGCACATGGTCGTCAAGTCCATGCTGACGCCCTTCCACCAGCGTGCTCAGAACTAAATCCTGGTGCGCCTCTGGAAATTGTGGCCCCGGGAGCTGGACACTCGATGAGATGTGATGGGACTCCGCTCCAGGCGCCAGCTCGGGCAGCTCGGCTGGATGGCGCAAACTGCTGCTGGGCGCACGACCCCCGCAGGGCCCCAGAGGAGACGCGCGGGGGGGGGGGGGGCGCCTCCCTGCCCGCGTCTCCTCAGCCGCTGGCCGCCTGGGGCCTCCGAGGGCCTCCCAGGGCCTCCAACGTGGGCTCCACGAGCGTCTTCCGAAGAGCAGGAGGCCTCTGAAAGCTTCTCGGTGCGCAGGGTCCGTTGTCTGTCGCGTGCTCTGCTCGCGCAGACACCCCGAGACGGCTCGCAAACGGCCCCTGGCAGCCCCAACATGGTCCCAGAATTGTCAAGAACGGTCCCAAGGTGGCCCCCAGAAGTCCCGTCACGCGCTCAAGATGGCTCACCGGGGCTCCCAGACGGCCCCAGGATATCCCTAAAGCCCAAAGATGGCTCAAGAAGGCCCCAAGATGGTCCATGCTGCCCGAGATCGCTCAAGAGGCCGCATCACGTCCCCCACGAGGACACAG